TACCAATCAAACATGCCCTTAGTACCCCCTATAAAAAATACACTTTCCACTGCAAAGGTTATCACCCCGAAAGATAGTCCTCCCCACCCCCCCGAAAGATAGTAAGTTTGTACCCGTCCTACATGTACAGACACCGTACAGTACATATATCATATGCACGGACACTAGAGTTGCGCAGGCTTCCCACTGCGTGTCATTTACCCCCGATAAAAAAGTACTCCCCGAAAGATAGTACCACCCCCGAAAGTTAGTACTCCTGTGGCTGCTAAGTTCGAAAGTTAGTACGTACTAACTTACGGGGAATACGGTAGTATGAATTCACCCTGGATCCACAAGTGATTGTACTGAGGCCTTACTACAATACAACAACGGAAATCAACAGACTACCCAACGATATTACATACACTTGAGCCTGCCAAGTTAGGTGATCTGTTGCTTTGCGTCGTCGAAGTGCAGTAAGACCAGTATCTCCAATTGTCGTACTAGCCTCGCCATCGTCCAGTAAGGCTTGGCATTCTTTTTTCCATTATTTCGGCATATTAATTATACAAATAATGGACTGGATGGAGAGCCAAGGAATAATTTCTGTAAAAGAAAAAGGACCAAGGAACTACAAGTTACGCTGTAATGTTCGCTAACACCACCAGTTACTAAACAATCAGCTCGTGCGGTAACATTGCACGCATCTGACAACCTGACCTTTTATTGATCTTCGCATCTTTTGAGCCACACAAGTGGTTTGGAATGTTGCTTTGCGTCCTTGAATCATGGTTTGACCGTATTGTCCAACAGTCTTGCCAGGATCATCATCGACATGCATGAACATCCGCCAACGTCCTTCACAGCTGAGACTTTCAGCTTGTGCTTATCTTTGGAAGGCTGTTGGAGTGCGCATCCAATATGTACTAGAGCTGTTTGCTAGTTAGTTGTCCATAGAGCGTCAGTGCCGTTGGTCAGTTTTGTGCAATGCTATCGCATGAGCTGATTATTTAGTAACTGGTGGTGTTAGTGGACATTATAGCCTAACATGTAGTTCCTTGATACTTTTTCTTTTCTGTAAACATATCGCAATGCAGGGGCGTCGCACACGGTATGGTCAGTGCCTGCTCCAGCGCCGGGTGAGCCGGGTAATCCACCCGGTTGGGCGGCGCTTGGACCCGGTTGAAAATATAGTACCGGGTCACCTGTGACCCGGTTGGTACTTTACACTTTCGAACTTTGAAAGGACTGACCACATGGCTTGTATGTGTCAGATACTTCTTCTTCTTTCATAATTTTCTAATTCCTGCCCTCTCTTTTCTAAACGCGGCTTATCCATTCGCCTTTATGTCATTGGACTTAGTTCCCGTTTATTGTCCGAATTAAAATAAACCCACCAACCAGTTAAAGCATGTGCCTCGGCTGGTGAGACAGCGCCAGGTACATGTGTACCCGGTTACGACCCGGTTGAAATGGTTGCGCCAGGTACACGTGCACCCGGCTGTCCTACAATCCTAGAGCAGACATTGATGGTCACTACGGTATTGACCGTACCACTTTTTGCCCCAGATACCAGTGAATCAATAAAATACACTGAGCTGGGATCTAAAATTCCAAAATATTCGGCTCCGCCACCACTCCCCCACGAGTAAATTGTACTTCAGATGTGTGACCGTACCACCCTAAAAAACCTTCCGAAGCCCCTGCAATGCTTGTAAATAACGCTTTGGTCCTGTTCTTACCAGCAGATGCCGGAACGGACATCCATGTTGTAATAAGGACAACGAAGAGAGCAACAGGCAACATAGTGTTGTAGTCAATCCAGGAGGTTTTGTTGACCTATAGAGCATTCCAAAGTCAATAGAGAAGGACAAACACATATCACAAAATGCATACAAATACAAGTCAGCAAGCGAGACCACCAAAAAGACTCAAATATAGTAGAACATTAATCCATGCATTGGTTGGGACAAGCACACATCAACGCACGCAACCATGCAGACATACACACATACACCCCCCCCCCTCCCACCACACACACACACACACCCGCACCCCCCCCCCCCCTACATACATACAACCACCCCCCCCCCCCCCCACACACACACACCCGCACACCCACCCCCCCCCCCACCCCCCCCACATACATACAACCACACATCCACCCACACACACACACAAACACACACACACACACACACATACACAAATACCTATGCATATCCACAATCCCATGTTTCTGCCCCCCCCCTAACACCCATCAACACACGTTTGCAATAGATGAACCACTGTCTGATGAACATGTGCCCACCAACCCGTGTACGTGGACAGTTTAGGGTGGACAGGTTAATTAACCTGGGTAGTTGCCACCCTACCCTTTATCATGGCTGCTACCTTCCTAACTTAGAAGTTGCGACTTCGGCGGTACTAGTCACGAAGTTGGTTGTTTCAACGAGGAACACACGCTTCTTGCTGAACTTGACACTTGACTGACTCACGACTAAGTCAAGTGTCAAGTTCGGCAAGAAGCGTGTGTCCCTCTTTGAAACAACCAACGTCATGCTACCTACCTGCCTGTATACATCTGAATGGCAGTGAGGGGGGAGTTGGATATGGCAAGTGATGGGGGAGTTGGCTATGGCAAGTAATGGGGGAGTTGGTTATGGCAAGTGATGGGGGAGTAGGCTATGGCAAGTGATGGGGGAGTTGGCTATGGCAAGTGATGGGGGAGTTGGCTATGGCCAGTGATGGGGGAGTTGGCTATGGCAAGTGATGGGGGAGTTGGCTATGGCAAGTGATGGGGGAGTTGGCTATGGCAAGTGATGGGGGAGTTGGCTATGGCAAGTGATGGGGGAGTTGGCTATGGTAAGTGATGGGGGAGTTGGCTATCGCCAGTGATGGGGGAGTTGGCTATGGCAAGTGATGGGGGAGTTGGCTATGGCAGGTGATGGGGAAGTTGGCTATGGCAAGTGATGGGGGAGTTGGCTATGGCAAGTGATGGTGGAGTTGGCTATGGCAAGTGATGGGGGAGTTGGCTATGGCAAGTGATGGGGGAGTTGGATATGGCAAGTGATGGGGGAGTTGGCTATGGCAAGTGATCGGGGAGTTGGCTATGGCAAGTGATGGGGGAGTTGGATATGGCAAGTGATGGGGGAGTTGGATATGGCAGTGATGAGGGAGTTTGACTATGGCAGCGATGGGGGAGTTGACTATGGCAAGTGATGGGGGAGTTGGCTATGGCCAGTGATGGTCGAGTTGGCTATGGCCAGTGATGGTTAAGTTGGCTATGGCCAGTGATGGGGGAGTAACAGTACTTTGCACTCTTTAGAAGCCAAAACATATCTAGGTTCTCAAGTGCCAGGCTAAACGTTAGGACACAGTCATGAACAAACCATAGAAGATATTCGAGCGACTTTTCGCTCCTTTATTCGCAGTGATCCGTGACCAAATCAGATTAATATGACCATGCCTCGCATTAAGAGGGATGGGCATGACCGGGTCAGCTGACCTGTAGATTTGAGATTGCCAAACCAAGCTGGTGATGTCCTTGAGATCGATAAACACCTTCATCTTGCACATGGTTGCTGCGTGGAACGCTGCTACTGTGCTAATAGTGATACGTTTCTGTAACTCTGTCGCATCTAGAGCGATGCTGGTCACAGAAAGGTATCCACATGGTAGCCGACTGCTGTTTTCTGGTGGAGGAGGCACCACGGATTGAGATTCCTCCCATTGGTGGAAAGCCTGGAAACATGATGTCCGCAGCTATTCTTCCACCTTTGCAACAATGCTTGTGTTGTCTTCTTCCCCGGTGGTGTTGTGTAGATGAATGCATGGCCACCATACTCCTCTTCTTTGATAGCACTTGACTGCAGGCTTGGTACTATAACCGTGCATAACTACTTCAGTCCCTGTGAGTGCTTCACAAGGAAAGTCGAACACGCCCGGCTTAGAGCTCATGTGGACTTGGTACTGAGTCCACGAGCTAATCTAGTTTTTTCCAACCCGCTGGCCTGGGATGGACTCGGCAATGGCAGTTCTTTGAAACGCGCTCCGCTTTCTATTCATTGCCGCTCCTTCATCCTGGTCCAACTTTATCAATGGATCAGTGTCTACTTCAGTTTCGCTACATCTTGTGGAGGCTCTATCGCCAGAGCCTGAGGCACAACGAGAACACTCCTCTTCGTATGTCTCCTCCATGGCTCTCCATGACTTCTTAACAAAACACCTACTCGGTGCAAATAATCATTTCGGATTAGTGGAATAGCTTTGGTTTGGTATTTTATGCCGTGGCCAAAGGAATTTGACCCATGAGTCAACACTCAGTGTACCCTGTAAAAAGACTCACAGTCTGTGGGGGTTTCCCTAGTAAAATAATTAATACTACTACTACTACTCAGACTGAAACAAGTGCTATTTCGCAATTTCAATCCAATACCGTACATCCTGCATCGTCCAAAAACCCATCCGAGCACCGTATTGGTGCTGCTTTTGACTTATAGTGTGGATTGGATTTCTTTGGCTACAATTGTACGAGTGTACATGACTGTATATTTACCGGTACGCACCTGACTGCGTTGCTACATACAGTGGCCAAAGTGCTAAAAGTGTTACGTGTCCACAACGTCATGAACTCGTACAATGCGTTCCAGTTGCACGCATTTCAGACACGATGAAGGTTGGATCACATGACTGTATGTAGCCAGTTGTTGCGAAAAACAAGGTTGACGGGCCCGTCTTCCCCCCAGATGAAACAGATGAAACAAGATGAAACGAGATGAAACGAGATGAAACGAGATGAAACAAGATGAAACGCCAATGTACGGGCGCAGATGGGGCCGAGATGAAACGAAATGAAACAAAATGAAACAAAATGAAACAAGATGAAACAAGATGAAACCAAATGAAACTCGAAGTACGGGCGTAGATGGGCCGCGAATGAAACAAGATGAAACAAGATGAAACAATGTACGGGCGGAGATGGGCCGCGCGCGCAGTGCACCCGGCGTGACGTGCACGAGCGAAAAGAACTGAATTAATCCAATCATTGAAATAATTTTGTTTGCAGAGGCAATTCGCGCAAGGGAGATAGGAATTTGATGGCTTGCGAGTGACAGCACGAGCCGAATTTATTGCCCGTGGAAGTACCCACGATAGGAATACACTGTTGGGAACATGGTGGCGCCGCTGACGGTACCTATGTAAGTGGAATTACTTTATTGGAAGTACCCACGACGGGGAAAATAGTCTCTCTAGTATTGTCGGTGAATGGTGATGGTGGTGGTGGCGATGGCTACTTTCCTCTGCTCAGAGAGAACCCCTGCATGTCCTTCGTCGTGATGCGAAAGAGCAGTGGATGCAGGTAAAGGCCGTGTCAGAGAATTTCGCCTAGTGCTGTGGCCAGGGTGAAAATAAATTAGGGCTGAAACGATCATTCAATAACTCCAAGCGATCAACCAATCTCTTTAGCGATGAATATCATTGTAACATAGAAAAATGTGGGCACAAGTTATGCAATCGAGTCGACCAACTAAACCAGATTTCGAATAGTCAGACGTGCACAATCTAGCACAAAACTGACAAGGAGTATGAGTACTGAGACATTGAGGTCAATTATAATTGTTGGTTCATAATTATAGATTCTTTCCGGCTGTAGTCGTGCACCTCGAACACAAGACTATGAAGAAATTCCATGATGCCTTTGCTACATTAGCTGTGGCCACCAGTCAAACACTCTAAATATACCCAGGCTACCGCTCAGTGTTTGGTATTCTGTAAACATTTCAGGCAATTGTGTCGACACCTGTAGACATCTGACTGGTCTAAAGCCTAGTTCACATTCGACGTAACACTGACGGTACAGGACGTAAGGGCCTGTCGGGACGGCTGGGGTGAGCTGTAAAACCTTTTACGATTCGTACGACACGACATGCTGAAGTCGTTGCGATGTTCTCCAGCGAACGGCGCGAGTCATAAGGCACAGTCCGTGACGGGGTGACTTTCGGACCTAATTTCTTGTTTTTCGGGACTTCTTTTCAATTATTTCTCCTTGAATGAAGCGAAATCAAATTCACAATACCAGTTTTTCATGGAGACAAAAAAGTAGCCCTGAAAGTTGTGCCATTCGAATAGTAGCCCTAGGAAATGATAAAACAGTTCATCTGTCATTCTCCTAAACTATCCCTAAATACCATAAGTGACATGAGATCTTATCTTGCTAAAATTCAACTTAAGTCGTGTTAGCCATTCTGCGAGTTATCATGGGAAGCGCAGTGTTCGAAATCCTAAAAATTTCCCAGTACGAATCGGGAGTGGATGGCGCACGACGCCGCCTCCTGTTCTCACTCAAAATGCAGCCGTTTTGTACGCTTGCGTCTCCGTCTATGCCCGTCTACGGTATGAAAAGTTGAACTGATCCAACACTTCCCGATCCGTACGGTAGTATGGTTGCGTTCCCGTTCCTGGTGTTCACATTGGACGCCGTCAGACCGTCCTGTCGCTTCCCATCGATCCTTACGCCGCGTCCCGTCGAATTTGAACTAGGCTTTATCAATATGAACTAGAGGAGTTCATGTTGTTGTTTCTAGAACGAAGAATCAGGCTTGTCGTCACCCTTTGGCTTGAAGCTCTTATCACCAACTTCCGCAACGAATCAATCGAAAAGATACCGTCTTGACTCCCGATCTCTTTCATAGCCACGCATCAATATTACTGCGCTTGAAAGTACCAATTGCACTCGTATCCACAATTGGATGGAGGGCAAGGGCTAGAATACTGCCACTGGTATGAATGCATAAAAAATCGTTTGCATTCGCTTTGAACCCTAACGATTATCGATTGCGCTCTTAAAACGATCGGTTTGCGAGTTATCTGTATACTTGTTTCAGCCCTAAATGCATTGCCCTCGTAGAGGACAGGGATGAGCAGTGATATGAGCAGGGATGTGAGTACTGATGTGCCTTTCGTCCTCATATTTTACAGAGAAGACGTCTGCCCCCAATAATAAAATTAATGTAGTAATGATAATGTGTTGCCCTTTCATCTTCTCAGGAGCCCTATGCCTTTGCCTCTTCTCCCCTGGACTGAATGGACTGGACACTCTGTCCAGTAGTGTCCAGTAAATGATTTGTAGTGTAAGTTAGGGTGCACTCTCTCTTGAGGATTTGCCCACCTTGATGATTGTGCTCTTCGTGTTATTAGAAAATGTCTCTACCTGCCAGGATGGTATAAGAGCACGAACTGAATCACCTGTTGGTGCAGAAGGCTTGGAGGACTGCTTTTGAAACAGTTGTTCAAATTTCCTGCACCTCTTCGTAGCCGTTGTCTGATTGCTGCATTCTGGGGAGACTGAAGTTAAGGTTAGTGAAGCTGCACAGTCCCCGTGGAAATGTTTATGCTGCAACTATTTACTGCTGACATGTATTTATGTATTTCAGGAATCTCCAGAGGGTGAAGGCTTGCTGCAAGCTCCGTCCCTTCAATGTCGTGATACATCCGTAGATCAGTCGTGTGCCTGTCCTGTGCTTTTATGAGCATGCTCCTTTGCACATGCCTTTGTCCTGTGCATGCGTGGGCTTGGGCGCGCGCGCGTGTGTGTGTGTGTGTGTGTGTGTGTACGCCAACGACACCGTCTGTGCACATGTGCATGGACGTGAGTTTGTGCGTATGTGCGTTTGCCTTTGTTATATGCATACAGTATTATCAATTTATCATGCCTATACAAGCCTTGCCAGTGTCTCGATAGGAGAAGCAGATACATGATTACACCACTTGGGTTTTGACCTTCTTTGGCCGGGGCGAATGTCGAAGGAAAGACTCCCTCTGGGCCAAGGTGTTGGCGACAGTTGAGAGTTGTCCTCTATTTTGCAGCGGGGGACAGCATGGCATATTTGGTGCCGGAAAGAGTGCAGTTGCACTTTTCATGTTACTGTAAAATTTGCTAGGTCAATCCCTTGAAGCTGGAGACTGCTGATACTGCTGCTCAAACGGCTGCTGCTGTTACTCTCTGCTGCTACCATGGTCGTTGCTTTGTATCAATGGCGAAAATTCTCAGATGAGCTTTGGGTCCGGGCACTAGAACCCTGCTGCTGCCTCTGCAGCAGTTGTAGAAAGTTTTATAATACCAGTGTCGATGGTGAACTTCTGCTCTTTTTTTATCCCAGACACTTTGTGCTCAAGAGACTGTTAGGTCTTTGTGGTGTTGTCGTTGCTGTTTGGTTATACTAGTTGGCGTCTGTTTGGAAATATATTGTGCTTTTCTGTGTGTTCATGTGAACGTAGAAGCCCTCACCGAAACCAACACTACGTTGCTGTGTTGTTTTCTTCTAAGGTCGGGCACAGTAAAGGAGACGACTCTGTGAGTATATTCGCAGATGAACTTTGGGTTAATAGAATGCAGGTGCTGCTGCTCTTGTGCCGGGCTGTTGGTGTCAATGATGGGGTGGATCATGCTTTCTCTTTATATACCTTTTGTATATTTGTGTGTAATTAGGAGCACATACCAACACGTAATCTTTCTAAAGCCTAGTTCTCTTTCGACGCAACGCTGACGGTACGGGCCTGTGACGGCTGGGGTGAGCTGTAAAATCTTGTACAATTCGTACGACACGACATGCTCCAGTCTTTGCGATGTTCAACAGCGAATGGTGCGAGTCATAAGGCACAGTCCGTGACGGGGTGACCGTCCCGGCGTTTCCCGTCGATCCTTATGTCGCGTCCCGTTGCGCCCCGTCGAATGTGAACTGGGCTTAACAATGGCATGGAGACAGTTTCAATTGCAGTTTAATGTTACTGCACTGCACTGCAGGTATCAAGGCACTACCCAGAGGGAGGATGTTGGCCTTCTCCTGATGGGAAAATGTCTTCTTTCTCATGGCGTGGCCAGGACTGCACTGACCCTACCATCCACTCTACCTCTCCGGAAAGGGACTTGACAACCAGTCAAGATGGATGTGCAGAGATATACCAGCGGTAAGTCACATGCTTAGGATATCCACTTGATGAAGGAAGGACAGGTGCTCAACTACTACACCAAAATGTGAGCATAAGGAGATGGGCTGATGGGTCATGGATGGGTGACAGGTCTTTGCCCGGTTGCTGGAGTATAACAACCTGGGTCTTGGATTGGTTTAGAAGCGGCCTGTTCTATTCGGGGTGCCATCCTCAATTAGACGGGCAGTGAAGATCTTGCAGGATCAATCGCACATGTAGAATATGGACATGTGGATGCGGGCAGCAGATCTGTAATTTCCAGTACAGTTGAACATCGATTATCCGACCACCTCTGGGCAGACAACTGTCAGGCGGTGTTCAGATAAGGCAAATGTTCCGGATAAGAAAACACACTGTAAATACATGTACATGTACATTGTAAATAGAATAGAGTGCTACTTTTCAAAATTTTCGTATTTTTTGAATGGCTCACTACATGCACAGTGCGTACTCTACGGCACGTGCGCCCAAAAAAACTGTTACGGATAATCGAATGGTCGGATAGTCGATGTGCGGATAATCGATGTTCAACTGTATCAAAGTTCAGTTGTATTTGCTTTTCTATATTTTCTATTTGTGATGTTGTTCACTGCAGCTTCTAGCATTAACTGCCAATTTGCACTGACGCAGCAAGACTCCCAACAGTCAAGTATGTTTCATTGCATGCACTAGGATTACAGTAGAATGCCGATTATCCGAATGTCAACTGTCCAAACGGTCAATTATCCGAAATTCCTGTTTGCACTGAATCCAATTCAATAAGTCGACTTATACCGGTAAAATATGGTAACAGCGGGACTGCAGGGTGTGGCATTTCCATGATACAGTGGAAAATTTCACGATTTTTGGTGCAAACATAGCTCAGACGCTGCTCGATTGGATATGCAATGCAGGTTCTTGGAACCACGGACACGACTCTTCGATTCAAGGCTCACAACACTTCGGGATCTGAACGTTTTAGGTCCGGGAGCTGTTCGCGGTTTTGTCGCTTGTCACGGTTGTGGACTCATCATTGTAGCATAAATGAGGCTGGACTATTCCAAGCGGAAAACTAAAATATTTCTTTCTCAAAGCACAATCACCGGCCCGGAGGAGCACACCTTCTCTAACTACATACCGGGTGCAGTACATGACACGTCCGTGTATTGACTAGTCTCTTGTACATTTAGATCTACCACACGACTCGCGTAGCGCTAGCACAGCAGTGCGGGTGTAGTCATGTACTACTACTACTACTACTACTACTACTACTACTACTACTACTACTACTACTACTACTACTACTACTACTACTACTACTACTACTACTACTACTACTACTACTACTACTACTACTACTACTACTACTACTACTACTACTACTACTACTACTACTACTACTACTACTACTACTACTACTACTACTACTACTACTACTACTACTACTACTACTACTACTACTACTACTACTACTACTACTACTACTACTACTACTACTACTACTACTACTACTACTACTACTACTACTACTACTACTACTACTACTACTACTACTACTACTACTACTACTACTACTACTACTACTACTACTACTACTACTACTGGCCGGTTGGGCTTTTTGCTCCTCCGTTATTGTCTAACTTTCTACTCCACTGTTCAATTCAATCGGTTTGAAACCTTTTCAATTACTTTCCTTGTGACATGTGGAGTCGGCTCGAGTAGTTTGCTTCCTTCTGGGCTCGTCCAGCCCGCCAGTCCTTCATCCAGCTAGTTTCTTGTGCTGCGAATCGGCCATTATAGCTGTTGGTCCGTGTTGGGCACGTTTGAGCGTGCGGGCCTTGGGCCCTGTTTGAGCTGGCTTGCTGTGCTGTGCACACGTTGTGGTTTGGCCCTGTACTGCCTGCAATGGCGCTCTGGATGCATACTTGGTATGGGACGAGTCGAGGTGACACTACTCATTGCATGTAGACGCACTGTTTACACCTAAGGCTAGGGCTAAGTCCTTGCATGCAGTGTGCCCGTGCTGTGTCTATGGGATGTCGCGGTCACGCGCTGTGAGCGGTCGACCGTGCTGCGCTTGCAGCAGAGCGTCTGGGACTTGCAAGTCATGTTCGTGTGCGTCGGATGGACGCTGCTGCAGCAACTGTTACCCTGGCAGAGATAATAAATGTACAAATTTTGGCAACGTGAATCTGCAGACCGCAGTTGTTGGAGTGGGTGCGGACGAATCCGTGTGTAGCGCTCCACCTTTTCGACCTCCTGGCTGGGTGCCCCATGGTTCCCGGGATGTGTTGGGCTCTGTTCCTCCGCCATCTGGCTCACACTCTCGCACAATAGCAACTCGGAGCTCTGCCTCGGCGGTGACGGCTGGGTCTGCGCCAAGTTCCGGACATCAGTCTTCCCGTGATGGCGCATTAGGAGATCCTCAGGTGTCTGTTCCTGCCTCTGCATCTGCGCTGCCTCGCCGCGGCATGGTTGGTCATGTGCCAAGTTCCGGGCCTCAGTCTTCCCGTGATCGAGCAACAGGAGATACTCATGCGTCTGCTCCTGCGCCTGCGCCGGTGTCTTCGGAGTGTTTGCGCGTGGATCTGCCGCCCCCACGATGTTCGGGGGCGAGTCGCCCTGTGCAGTCTGGGGATGGTGGCGACCATGTCGTTGCTGGGGTTGCTGATGCTCCCCTAGTTGCTCCTCTATGGTCACGGCATGCGGAGTTGGCTATTTGGATGCGGACTGCATATGGACAGGTTGTGTGCTGGCAGCGGAACCTTTTTATGACCCCCTCGGGTTCCACTGGCAAGCGTTTCGTTAACATTATCGCGGACTTCATAAACACGTTTGCATCTGGTGGTCCAGCTGCCTGTGTCGCTTGGGAGTGTGTGGCGGTTGCTAGTCACCTCTTGTTGCAGCGACCTGAGCCGCACAGCAGAAGCAAGGAGAATACAGAGCATCTGCAGCGGCGCATGGACATGTGGGCTGCTGGTGACTTGCAGCCACTGTTGGAGGAGTCCCGTTGCGTCCAGGCTCACTTGCGTCCCCGCTCGGGGTCTGCTGGCGGTGGTGGAGACAGTGGAATGTCGGACACGGATTTTGCTAAGCTAGTGCACGGTGGTCGGCTGGGTCAGGCTCTGTCTGGTTTGTCAGAGGGGCGGTGTGGCAAACCTCTCCGGGCTGATGATATTGCGGTGCAATCCTCGGGTGAGACGGTCCGTGACGTGCTTCAAAAGAAGCACCCTGCTCCTGTGGATCCAGCCGAGGGAATATTGTTGGACTGTGAACCAGATCTTCCTAACCAGATTATGTTTGAAACGATTTCAGCAGAAAAAATCAAAAAGACAGCTGGCCGCATGAAGAGTTCTGGGTCGGGGGGTCCATCGGGACTGGATGTCGCTGCCTGGCAGAGAATGCTCACTGTGTTCAAGGGAGCATCGGCGAACCTTGCATCGGCGTTGGCTGCCGCGGCGAAGCGACTCTGCAGGGAGGTTGTCGATCCTCAGATTCTGTCAGCGTTCGTGGCAGCTCGCCTTGTTCCCTTGGAGAAGTCTGCTGGTGATGCTGCTGGCGCTACTTCCAGTATAGGTGTGAGACCGATAGCTGTTGGTGAAGTACACCGCCGTATTATCGCTAAAGCTATATTGGACTGCGTCTCCACTGATGTTGTTGCGGCTGTAGCCCCATTTCAGGTTTGTGTGGGCATGCCATCTGCGTGTGAGGCTGCGGTCCTTGCTGTGCAGAGCCAGTATTTGGATCCGGAAACAGAGGCCATTTTGTTCATAGATGCGTCTAATGCATTTAATGCTGTTAACAGACAGGCAGCGCTTCATAACGTTCCTCGGGTGTGTCCTGCCGTATCCACAATCTTCCAAAACACATATGGCGCTCCAATATCGTTGTTTCTGCCGGGTGGTGACAGGATCTTGTCTCGAGAGGGTACTTGCCAGGGCGATCCTTTGGCCATGGCACTGTTTGCGCTGGCTATTAGCCCTATGATCAGACGCCTGTCAAGTGACCACCCATCTATTGGCCAGTGCTGGTATGCGGATGACGGCGAGGCTGGTGGAAGGATGATGGACGTGCACAAGTTTTGGTTGGCTTTGTCTGACATTGGACCGGAGTATGGTTATTTCCCCAATGCCTCAAAGACGACACTCCTTGTCAAGCCGGATTTTGAGCGGGCGGCCGTTGACATGTTCGATGCCACTGGTATTGCAATACGAACCGGTGGAGCGAGGTACCTGGGAGGTGCTGTTGGCCAGTCGACGTTCATTGCCGATAATCTCGATAGCCACATTGCGAGTTGGGTGCGGGAGATGAGCCTCTTGGCTGACATCTCGCTTACACAGCCCCACGCCGCATATTCCGCATTTGTCCGTGGTATGAAGAGCAAGTGGAATTATCACATCCGAAGTCATCCAGGGTCGGCTTCTTCGTACAGACCACTGGATGATGTCATAAATAATAAATATATCCCTACCTTAACTGGCCGGACGGAGGTTTCTGATTCGGAGCGGAAGCTGCTGGCATTACCAGTGCGATATGGTGGCCTCGCTATTCCTGTGGTGTCGGAGGACGCAGAGGTGCAGCGCCGGATAAGTGAAGTTGTCACTGGGCCCGTCGTGCGAATGCTGCGGTCGGGGTCCAATGAGTTGACGCCGGCTCGGGTTGTTTCCGACACCAGCGTTCTCCGGAGACATCAAAACAATCAACGTGCTGATATGCATAGGACCCAGCTGTCAGAGCTGGCCCCTGCCCTAAGTGGCCCTCAGCGTGTTCTGCTGGAAACCTCCAGAGATGCCGGTGTGGGAAGTTGGCTTACGGCGGAGCCGCTTGCCTCCTGTGGATTCGTCTTGAACAAGTCCGACTTTCGTGATGCAGTGGCAATTCGTTACGGCTGGCCACTTGATGAATTACCATCATCCTGCGTATGTGGAGTGGCCATGACGCTTGATCACGCTGCAGTATGTCCAACAGGGGGCTACCCAAGTCTACGCCATAATGAGATCCGGGACCTGCTGGCGGAGGTGTTTTCGGCTGTCATTTCTGATGTAAGGATAGAGCCTACGTTGCTGCCTTTGACTGGTGAGTCATTGGATTGTGCCACTGCCAATCGTTCTCCTGAGGCTCGTTTGGACATTTGTGCAAGGGGCTTCTGGTCTCGACAGCAAGATGCATTTTTTGATGTGAGGGTCACCCACCCCTCGGCGTCCTTGCTGTCGAGATCGGATGTACTTGCCCAGTTGTCTCGTAACGAAGCACAGAAGAAACGGGCCTATCTACAACGTGTGATTGATGTTGAGCGAGGCACCTTCACACCTTTGGTTTTCGCGACCAATGGTATGTGCGCTTCCGAATGTTCCCGTGCTCTAAAGAACATTGTTCAGCTCATTGTCGAGAAGCAGCCAGAGCTTAGTTATGCAATAGTAATGTCGCATTTGCGCTGCAGGATCTCTTTTACTTTGCTCCGCTGGCTGATTACTTGCTTTCGTGGGTGCAGAGCTTCATACTGCCGAAAGCGTGTAGCAATTTCATTCCTGGACCAATGCCGTTTGCTCCAGTTGTGAGTGGGAATATAATTATAAGGTCCTCCATGTGCTGTGCACGGAAGCCTTCGGTTAATTTCAATATCTTCCTCTTTGGCCGGCTTTCCAAGTTGCGCTATTGTGAATAGTGATC